CTTGGGTCCCATCCCCAAATTGAAATTTAAAAAATCTCAAATCGGAAACCCTTCAGGATAAAGGATATTTGACTTTTAGACTGAATCCATAAACCCCAGTGGGAAGGTACCTGGAGATGATAACTCACCAGGGAGGAGATTAGGTCATAGGGTGGAGTCCTCGTGATGGGACTAGTGACTCTATTTTTTAATTTATTTTTTTTAAATTTTGGTACCAGGGATTGAACTCAGGGCACTCGACCCTTGAGCCACATCCCCAGGCCTATTTTGTATTTTATTTAGAGACAGGGTCTCACTGAGTTGCTGAGTACCTCTCTTTTGGTGAGGCTGGATTTGAACTCTCAATCCTCCCACCTCAGCCTCCCGAGTCACTGGGACCGAAGTCATGCTCCATTGTGCCCGGCTAGTGACTTTAGTTTTAAAAGAGCTTGTTTCCTCTCTCTGATCTCCACCCRGTGAGGACTCAGCCATCGACGAAGCTGGGAAAGGGTCCTCACCAGAGCCCTACCATCCCAGCACCCTGATCTCAGCCTCCAGAACTGTGAGAAGGGAATTTCTATCATTTAAGCCACCTTGTCTGTGGTCATGGATGATGGCACCAATGCTGCTGCCTCTGGTAATGAGTGGCGTGGGTGTCTGGAGGAATTCAAGGGGCTCTGCCTGGAGCTGAACACACACACACCTGGCCCAGGAGTTGGAGGAGCTGGGGGGAGTCCAGGGGAACATGGAGGGTCTGCAGACCTGGCTCCTGCTTCAGGCCCAGGGGAGCCGGCAGATAGGCCACACGTGGGGGAGGGGCAACAAAATGGCGGCTGCTTCTCCTCCACCCTCTAAAGCCTCCACCAAGGGCACTTGAGCCAATCCTCACGGGAAACATTCAGGGCAGGGCTGTTGGGAAACGTGGGTGAGCCTAACCACAGTGATGCAGGATAAGAGCCACCGTGGACCCCGGGGAGCAGGGAGATGCTGACCTCAAAGCAAAGCCAATCCCAGGGTGGCAGTGGAGGCCGGGGAGGCCGCTGCTCCCCATGGGGTGGGCTGAGGGTGGTAGGAAAGGGTTTTCTAGAGCTAGCATGGAGCCCCAGGACTGGGCGATGGCAGTGACCRCCCCCCTTTGCTTTTCAAGAATGCAGATACCTTGGGAAGGGATGTCATCAAGATGCAAACCAAGGTCTGGGGGTCTCGGCCAGGCCGTCACCTACTTCTAGCTCATTTCCCGATCCTTCTCTGACTCCACCCTCCCACACGCCGCCACGCAGCCCCTGGGGCYAGGCCCGAGGACTTAGGCCTTGTGTGTGGACTGTGGCAGGCCCCAGGACGCTGGAGCTGCTGACTTCGCATCTGTCCCATCTGTCTATTCCCGCCAAGATTCCTTAGATACAAAGAACGTCACCGGCCTGGGGGCCTCCTCCACAGGCACCCAGGGAGGAGGGCTTTCTGCCACCTTCCCCGGCCTGACACTCAAACCCGTGGGCACCTCCATCAGAGAGGAGCCCATGAAGAGAATCCGGCAGAGGGAGGCAGGGATCAGGGCGTCACCAGGGGTTCCCCCAGGGGTTCCTTGCTGACATGTCTGGGAATAATTAATCTGCGCTAGAAAAGCGGGTGCAGAGGAATATTCTGAATGACTGAGAAGCTCACCAAGGAACCGTGGAGGGATCCTGCAGGGACTCGGTTCCCCAAGGCTTGTTTTATTTCAATATTCCATCTTGTCGCCAGGCAAAGAATCTTCAGTTTTAGACATTTAGGTAGAACACTATGGTTGGGACACCTGTAGCCTAGAGGCCAGACCGGAGAGGTCACCCCTGGTTCTTCTGTCCATCTCCTCCAAGGCCAGGCCAGGCCTAAATATGACATCGGTGCCCAATGGAGTCAGCTGATGGCATCTGGCATTCGACCCAGGCATCGTTTTTCTTTTTTTTGGGGGGGTGCTGAACTTGGGAGCTTCATTTCAAGTCTGGGTCTGTCTGTTTCTCCTGAGGGTTTTGTGTGCCTCTGCCTCAGTCCTGGCCATGGCTGACCCTGGGTAGCAGTTTCAAGGTCTCAGATAATTTAGCTTGAAACTCCCCCCAAAGCCTGGGGTCCTCTTACTCGGTTGGGTTGGAGGGGCCTGGAGCTGTCACACACAATGGGCCTGTGTCCTCCCGTGGGTATTTTACCAATCCCCCTGGCAAATATTGGTACCTCCACATTTCATCAGAGTTCCAAACTCAGAGCTGTGGATATTTTACTGCATGCTGAGCCACAGACCCTCCTGCAAAGGAGGGGGGGGGGGAGGAAGTTCTAGCTTCCTAATCTGAACTCCCCAGCAGCCCCTGGGCAGGTGGAGGGGTCCGGACCACAGCCGAGGAGAGCCCTCCACGCATCCCGCGTCTCCTGCGTTCACCTAATAACTCTCTTAGCTCCCGAACCCTTTCTGAGCTGGATTCCTGACAAGCCCCAATGCATTTTTCATGAACTACAGTAGGAAATATCAAAACACCACGAGAGCATGTGAGGAATAGCAAAATCTCCACTTCCAAGGGCCGGCCAAGCAGCGGGGGTAATCAGGATGGGAAAGGGTGAGGACCACGGTTCTATTCGCCCCCGTCCAGTAAAGAGTGAGGGAAGGAAGGGAGGAAATGCCACACCGACCCAAAGACACGTGACTTCAATGTCTTCAAGATGAATAAAGGGTCTACACAAACATGCTGACAGCGTCGTCCACAGGGCTGAGACTCCATGAGCCACTCTGCTCTCTGTGTTTATATTCACTGATGTTTATATTCTCTCCSTATTTTTTTGTTTGTATTCTTTATCAGTAACCATGCTGCAGYCAGAAAAAATATATATAATTAAACCTATCCATTAAGGTTCAGTACCTAATGCATTGCAATCTTGCTCTTTGGTGGCATCTTAGGATTCAAAGCATCAGCTGGGTGCGGTGAAACACATCTGTCATCGCAGCAGCTCAGGAGGCTGAGGCAGGAGGATCGCGAGTTCAGAGCCAGCCTCGGCAACTTAGCGAGGTGCTAAGCAACTCAGCGAGACCCTGTCTCTAAATAAAATATAAAAAGGGGCTGGGGATGTGGCTCAGCAGTGAAGAGCCTCTGGATTCAATTCCTGGTACCAAAAAAAAAAAAAAAAAAGATTCAAAGCTATAAGGGTCCCGGAGGAGGGTAATCCACTGGGAGGTTTAAATCAAAGAATGTCGCCAGACAGCATCAAGGGGAAACTGAGGCAAATGCCTGGAGTCAGGGAGGCGAGCTTTGGAAAGAATTCACCCAAGGGATTTGGGGCTCTGGAAGTGGGGCTGAAGATATCCCATCTTTAGCACCCAAAACCCCATGTCCACCAGGGAACTCCTTGGTCCCAGGCAATGGGGACAAGTTGGTCACCCTACCAGGGAGTGAGGTGAGGATAGTGTCCTCAAAGAGAGTGAATTGGAAAGGCTGTCACTGCCCTGTGACTGTGGTCTGTCCCCTCCATGAGCATCCAGAATCCTCTAATAAGATGACTGGTCCAAGGGCCGGGTCTCCCCACTCCCTGGAGGCCCCACTCATTTCCTAAGAGAAGACTTTATCCACCATTTGTTTTCACAGTGGTCTCTTTAAAGTCTCAGCTGTTCCAGGGAGAGTAAATAGGTTTTAAAATTAATTATCAATTAAAGGGAGGTTAATTAGCACCAGGCTAGTCATCTATTTTCTCTGTAACTGAGGCGGCTCCCCCTCCCCAGAGTCCCGAGATCCACGCCAGGGCCCATAAACCCCGGACGGTGGAAGCTGCTCGTGTGTGACCTACGGACTAATGAAAATAATGCTCGGTATTTCCGCAGTCCCTTTTCCCTGGACGGGAGGTGAGTTCTGTGGTCATTTTGATTTTCCAGTTCATCAGCAGGTAAGCCAGCCTTCTAGGTGGGCTGACCGAATTAACACGATGAAGAAAATGAGGTTGGCAAATATTGTTTATTGACATAAAGATTTCTCACCCGTCTCCACTGTACTTAGGGAAATGACCATGATGGAGTCGGAGGGGGCAGTGAGGTTCCTAAGGAAGAGCTCCATCAGTCACTGGGCACAGGGTCCCCCTCGCCATTAACATCTTGTGCCTCTTCCTGCAGCCTGATTTCACTTAAGTGCTGCCTGATTTCACTTAAGCTCTGCCTGATTTCATTTAAGCACTGCCTGATTTCTCCTAAGCTCTTGAAATGTGATTCTTGGCCCGCCCTAGACCGTATTGTCATCCCCCCCCCCAGGTGGGGACAAGGCTGTGGTTTGTGTTAATAATGATCCTTAGCTGAAGTCTGCTGCTTCATCTGACCTCATCTTTGATGAATATTTACAGGAGCCCACAGTGGGGGGTGGGGGGTGGCATTTGCAAATTGAGCTCAGACCAGACGGGTGAGTGCTCACTCACAACCAGGACCATTACGTAATCTGGTGCTGGAACGTGCCTGCATGGGACAGAAGAGGACAGGACCCAGTCTCCTCTGCATTCCATCAGTGACCCAGACGCTGTTAAATGCACCGCCCAGGACCTGGAACGGCCACACGTCATTTGGGTGTTCTGGGAATATCAATGGAAGCGTTCAGGCAGTGACTCTAGAGTCAGTGGAGTGGGCTCACCATGGGCAGTGCCCTCGCCCACCCTGCGCCTCCCACCTCTGGGGTCTGGGTGGGGGTGACAACCTATGCTGGCAGGTGGCCTAGAGCTCATGGTTCTGCACGCCAGGAGCTCGCTCTCCATCAGACCAGGGACTTGCGTTAGCAGCTCTGCCCAGAGGGAGATGGAGATGGGACTGAGCGATTTCAAAAGGGGCCACTCTCCAAGAAGAGGTGGGAGGGAGGCCAAGTTCATCCCCGAGCCTGCAGGCCTGTGGTTCTTGCTGGGCAGCTCATCTCTTTTTCTCTGTCCTCCAGTCATCCGGCCAACGTCCACTTCCTCTCCTTCTCTCCCTTCTTCCTTGCATATATATATATATATACATATCTGTATGCAAAGTTTACATCATAAAAAAAGAAAAGAAGCCGAGCAGCCCCCAGTCTGGCCCGTCTGGGATCCCAACGTGTTCCTCAAGAGCTCACCCACTCGTCCGCACCGCCACCTGCAAGTGTGCCATCAGGCAAAGGTCTGGATCCTGTTCACCACTACAAACTGTGGAGTGCAGCTCCCCTGCAGGAAAGAAAAGAAAATGCCCTTGGGCCAGGTACTTCTTTGGGGGGGTGGGGGCTGTGCTGTGCTCTGTAGGGTGCTCAGCAGCACCCCTGGTCTCCGCCTGCTCATGCTGACATTGAAAATGTCTCTACACATTGCCACCTGTCCCCTGGGAGTCAACCCCCCCCCCCATGAAGAACCACTGCCTTCAACCCTAATTCACACTGAAAGTGCCCCAAACAGTAGAATTTCAGGATCCTGCTGAGAGTGCAAAGTTGAACCATGAATATTTACACAGGGACAACAGGTGTAACCCRAGACCATCCTGGGCAAACAGGGACATGAGGCCACCAGACACAAGCCTCTTCTGAGAAGAGACAGATGGGATGTCTGTGGGTCTGAAGTCTGACGGAGGRACTTCCCCACGTCACTTGCAAGCTTTGCACCCCTGCTTTGTGGYCACCAGTTATTTTCTGAAAAATAACTTACCAAGGGTGGGGGAGGAAATAGAGGAAGACGAGAATTTTTATAAAAGAACTGGAATTCACCCATGTTTGTTGCTGCATGATTGTCAACTGCAAAAAGGCAGCACTCCTGTCATCCCAGCAGCTCGGGAGGCTGAGGCAGGAGGATCAAAACTTCAAAATAAGCCTTAGAAATGGCAAGGCACTAAGCAAAGTAGTGAGACCCTGTCTCTAAATAAAATACAAAATAGGGCTGGGGATGTGTCTCAGTGGTCAAGTGCCCCTGAGTTTAATCCCTGGTATCAAAAAAACAAAACAAAAWTTTWAAAAATGCAGTTACCCAGTGTCCGATGATGGGTAAATGTATAAATGAAATGGATCTCTCCACATAATGGAATATTACTCAGCTGTGAAAAGGAAGGGCATCCTGACATCTGCTACTACAAAGATAAAGTTTGAAACACTATAAGTGACAAGAGTCCATCACAAGAGGAAGAATACTGCAAGATTCCATTCATCAGAGGTGGAGTCCCTCTATGAACTTAATTCACAGAGGAAGAAAGCAGGATGAAGGAGCACAGACTGGAGGGAGCAGGAAATGGGACTTGGTGTTTTGTGGGGACAGGGCTTCAGTTTTGCAAAATGAAAAGTTCCATGGCTTGATGGTAGTGATAATTGCACAATGACGTGAATACCCTTAATGCCACACTTAAAAACAACAGGACAGAGATCCAAAGAGAGGCTGTCCCAGGCTGTCTGGATCTCTGTCCTGTTGTTTGGTCCTGCCCAGCACAGAAGGAGGACCGTGGGTCTGTCGCCCTTGCGCTGTGCTGGGCTTGGGGGAACGCTGGTCATCAGCCTTGGAAGACAAAACCTGCTGCTGGCCCGGCCCATCCCCCGCCGCCCCCGCCCATGCAGCTAACAGATAGCCACACTGGTCCCTGCGGTCTCTGGTCTGCAACAATTTTCTTGAGACACTATTTTTAAATCCCCTATAAGCGAAAGGGGAGGCTGCGTCCTCCACCACAGGCAGCCTCCCCCCTCCGCCCAGCCCAACCCACTGAGTCCTCCAAATACAAAAAACCAGGAACACTTTGTTCCGATTTGCCACTGTGAGCTACTAGACGGAGGCTCAGCTGTCACCTCCTTAATGGGCTTTGTGCAAAGCGCTCCCTCCAAGGCTGTGCAGTTCAGTGGTGGGCCCGGCCTCACCAGGGCTCCGAGTGGACCCGGTGTAATGGGGTTAGTCTACAGGGGGCGGAGGACCAGGGCCAGAGGGCTCATAAGAGCGAGAGGCCGCAGGATGGGAAAACCTTCCGCCCCCTGTGCGCCCAGCCAATGGGCCTTGGCCCAAGATGAGGAGGTGCGCTGAAGCCGCCTCAGGGCGAAGGCCAGAGGGTCATGAAGCGGGAACGACGAGGACAGGATCCATTAGCAGGGAGGAAAGGCGTCGAGCTTTCCAGACGGCTGTGGCACTTTTAGTTACCCTAGGGAAGGAGGGACGCGTGAACAGGGACGCTGACAATCTGAATGTGCATGTGCGTGTGTGTGTGTGCATGTGTGTGTGTGTGTGTGCATGTGTGTGTGTGCATGTGTGTTAAGATTTCAGGCAGAAGTGAGAGGTCCTGGGGAGTCTGTCTCAAACAGCTGAAGGTCAGGGCTGGTGAATCTGGTCACCAATAGTGGCCAAATATGGGCCTAGCTTTATTCTAAGCCAAGTCAAACTCTTTAGTCTTCCACCCTGTATGTTCCTTGGGGAAAATAATTTTCCAGGAGCTAAACTATTTTCGGACTCAAAACCTGTTAAATGTGAGAAAGTACTGGAATGGAGCGTGTTTCTGTAAATATTCRTTAATTCAATCAGACGGCCTAATCACGGGCAGGGCACTGTGTCCGCTCTGCAGACACCGTGGGGGCATTGTGAAATGACACGTGTTTGGGTAACATGCCAGCTGTCTTGCCCATAGGAACAGGGAGTGGCTAAGGCCGGTGGCCAGAGCCAGGAGTGTAACTTTCCCCCAAGAGGGGAATACTCTTTTTGTTTGATGTTACCTCTGCTAACTAGTCTCCCAGAACGAAGGTAAACATGAAGGGACTAGGGAGTTTCACAAATATTTGTTCTCTGGTTAATATTAATGTATGTTCATGTTGACTTGAGTTTTCAAGTCTGCTCTGAGTCGGGGACTGACCAGCCATCCCTTAAGTCACCGAAAAAGCCAATTAAGGGTAGGAAGAGGACAGGTCTAGCTTCTCTGTAACTAGTCTCCAGCCCTGATCCTCTGACTTCTTGGATTTTCTCTTAATTGCTAAAATTAAGTCAGGCCCAATGAGAAGGCAGAGGAGAAGTTAGCGGTCACCAAGCACCCTTACGGAAGGACYTGAAAGTCATTGTCCCATTTCACGACCTTGCTGGATCCTCTCTCTGCTCCCGGAACGGCTCCCATCTTAGAGAGGAGGAAACAGGCACAGAAATAAAGTAGCCTTCCCCGGGGTCAAGACGTTTGAGCCGGCATTATTTCACCAATCAATGAAAAGCTAGCGTTCCCTTTATGAAGAGAGAAATCGGGAAATGAGTGAGATCAGAGTTAGTTTCCTGGTGCATTATGTAATCCTCCCCCACCCCTGATCATTCAGAATAGAGGAGGAATGGGGTAACTGAGAACACACGTACCCGAACCCACTGTTCGTCGTTGAAGATGATTTTCTCTGAGATCCTAATGCTGATCTGTGGGGAAATACAACTCAGTTCAAAATATTCCGTSTACATTCAATTATCAGCGTACTCAATTATGGCACAAATTCAAGTAGACCAGTGGGAAAGGCAGAGAACCCAGTGCTCTGAAGGAAAGTGGACGGGCTGTCAAGTCAGACTGCACGGGATCCAGACACCCCCCTGGCCCTTACAAACTGTGTGGCCTTAGGCAAACTTCACCTCTCTGATTTTCCCTGTCTTCATTTTCAAACTGAAGCTATTGACACTTACATCAGTCAAGTTATCACAAAGTTTAAATAGAATGATGTACCCAAGCCTCCCTGYCATGGGAGATGGCCAAGAACTATTTCTCTTCTCCATTCACTGCAAATAAAATTGTTACTGAGACGTCCAAGGTTGCTTCAAAGACCTCAACTGGAGAATATTAATCATCTATAAATAGGAAATGTTGAAGATACAGAAAAAAGTGACTATACTTCTAGGTGTATCTATGACCCAAATATGTACTTGTGTCCTAAACGGAGAGATATGTCTCTTCCTTGACTGGTATCGCAAACGTGCCAACTGGTTGGCATGTTTCTATTATCTCAAGCCAAAGAATTAATTCRACATAAATCCTTCTCAAAGTGTGCTCCTTTCGGCTCTGATCTCACAAGTATTTCCTTAACAGGAAACTGGGCATCCAAGCCCTGGGTAAACTTGGAAATCACAGCGGACTCTCTCCCCGGGGGGGAGATTCATAACGAGCCATCATGGCTAACCTGTTTGACCATAGAATTTTCCCCACCTGTCACTCATCTTATGAAACTGGTGTCTCAGGGAAACACACTGGGAAGTGCCGCTTTTGGACCAGTCAAAACCTACTACATTTTGACAGCATCAAAGAAAGAAATCTCTAGCTACTTCCGACCTGACCTTGGCAATGGGAACACTCTCTGATCGGCTTTCTCTTCCCAAATCACTTTACCTCTCACACGTGTTCACCCTTTAGTTTCTTCTACTTAACATAACAAGGGACAATTTATTCCTGTTTCAGAATATGGGAGCTAGACTCCTTGACAGGAGTCGGAAACGACACGGCAGAGAACAAAGCGTCTCTTGAAGCCAAGGTCCGCGGTGAGGAGCAAGACCGCGCTTGCCTCAAAATGGGCAGAGACTAATTTTCTCTGCTTAAAATTCCTTAAAAGCTCAAGTGTCCCGACTTCAAACATCAAAGAGAATTTTCTTGGGCACATCAGAGGGATCGTCTTTTCAAAGGAGCCACAGAATCGGGAGAGGGGAAAAAAGTGTGCAATTTATCACTCTGTCGAGGTTCAGCAAGGTCCTGATCAACATGCTAAGAGCCCCCAAAGCCAGCAGGAGCATCGGCTCAGCAATCAACAACAACAGACAGGGGACAGATGATACTAGTGGATTGGCAGGTCGTTGTCATACGTTAAACAGTTGCTACCCAACATCAGCCTTCAGGCTGAGGTCCTTGTAGAGTCCCGAGTGAAGACTTTTTGAAGGGCTGGGGCTGGGGCTCAGTGGTAGAGTGCTTGCCTAGCATGCATGAGGCCCTGGGTTTGATCCCCAGCACCGCCAAAAGAGAAACAAACTCGATCATTAATCTTAAAAATGTCTAACTGGGAGCGGTGGCATATGCCTGTCATCCCAGCAGCTCAGGAGGCTGAGGCAGGAGGATCACAAGTGCCTCCTTCTGCAAATGAAAAACAAAAAGGGCTGGGGGTGTCGTTCAGTGGGAGAGCACTCCTGGGTTAAAATCTCTAGTACTAAATAATTTTTCGTTTGTTTGTTTTTTAAGCCGTGGCTAGCAAAAGACTTATTTTAATGTATATGTCAAAGATCTCACAGAAATGTATATGTCAAAAGTTCTCAGCTGTACAGCAAGATTCCCAGGCGCTACTTACACACACCTTTTCCTGTTACTCACTGATCGAGGTATTTCTGTGATGGGATTCAGCAGGTGAATCGGAATCACAAGGTCTCAGATGAGTTGACTTTAAATTACAGAGATGATCTGGTCAGGATCGACCTAGTCACAAGAGCACTTTAAAACTCATAAGAAAAAGTCAGCTTCAAAGCACAAGAAGGGTTTCGCCCACCATTGCCAACTGGAGGGGACCATGAGGCAAAGAATGTGGGTGGTCTCCTGGAGCTGAGCGTCTCAGTTCCGTGGAATTTCCCCCAGAGCCTCCCCCCAGGAGAGCTCAGCTAGGACGCCACCTTGGTTTCAACCTGATGCCACACACTGAGACCCCAGCTGGACCTACAGCACTGTGAACCAATAAAGGTTTGAAGCCACAGGATTGTGGTCATTTGTTGGACAGTAGAAGAAAACGAGTAGCGGTTGAGCATTCCTTATGTGAAATGCATGGATCAGAAGCATTTCAGATTTTGGAATATTTGCACGTACATAATGAGCTATATCAAGGATGGGACCCAAACCTAAACACCAAACCTATTTTTGTTTCGTGCATACCTTATATACCCAGCCTGAAGGCTAATGGTCTAGAATATCTTCCTTGGACCTGKGTTTTGACTGCGACCCATCCTGTGAGGTCCGGTGTAGACTTTTCCTCTTGTGACATCATGTCAGGACTCTAAGAGTTTTGGGGTTTGGAGCCTCTCAGATTTTCAGATTAGGGAAACACGGGGATGATCCTTAGGATGAAGCCTAAGGATCAATAGAAGAGGGGCTGGGGGTGTAGCTCAGGGCAGAGCATTTGCCTTTCAGCACGGGGGSAGGTGGGAAGTGGGGGGAGAAAGAAAGAATCAATTGCAGGAGGCTTGGGAGGAAGCGCTCCTAAGGTCCCCTGTTGCGTTTGTAGGTTCAGTATCTCAGCAGACAGTTTCCCCTAAATCCACCAGAATTAAAATAAAAACTGAAATGAGGGAAAARTAAGTCAAACCACATTGAGTTACCATTCCACACCCACTTGGATGGCTATTTTTTTTAAGGCAAAAGGACAATAAGGACTGTTGGTGAGGGTGTGGGGAAATCAGAGCCATCAAATGTTGCTGGTGGGTGTGCAAAATACAGCCACCAGGTGGGAAAACACTCTGGCAGGACCTTTGAAGTTCGAGCACAGAGTTTCTCAATGACCTGGTAATTGCACTCCTAGGTCTAGATCCAGGACAACTGGAGACACATCCAGGAAAACACCAAGATTCACGGCAGTGGTGTTTGCCATCACCAAAACAGAGAGGCAACCCACACATCCGTCAAGGGATGAGTGAGTAAATCAAATGTGACATATTGTGACTATCCAACCATCAGCAGGAATGAAGTTCTGATACAAGTTCCAACATGGAAGAACTTTGAAAACACACTGGCAAAATATGCCAGTCAGAGAGGGTCTCATGTTGTGTGAACACATTTAAATGAAATATCTGGAACAGGCAAATTCACAGGCAGAGAGTGGATCAGAGGTTGCTGGGAAGGGAAAACTGAGACAAATTGCAGACCAGGCTGGGGTCCCTTTGGGGATGATGGGGAATGTTCCAGAATTAGACAGAAGTGTGAATCRCACAACAAAATGAGCACTGATGTGTTTACCTTAAAGGGGAGAATTTAATRCCATGCAAATTGTATTTCAGTAAAAATTGAAAAATAAATAAATAAAAACAGAAATGGCAGAGAGCCCATGGATGAAGGGGTTTTTAGCTGAAGTTACTTTTGCTTTTTAACTGTATCTATTCTCTGTATTTCAATCCACTCTCTTGCCCCCAGCTTATCATTGTAAAAAGTTTCAAACACACAGCAAAGTTGATAGAATGAATCCCTGGGCTCCCTCCACCCACAGTCAACAATTGTTACATTTTACTGGTTTGCTTGGATGTCCTTACTTTCTGTCTACACAAGTACAAAGTGTGGTTTTTCAATCTTGCCCCCACTGTGTTGTGGAGGGTAATAACTTCTTTTGCATTCCCCAAATCATCTAATAATAAACACAGCAATGAACTGGAGAAGAAGGTCGTGCAATGAATGGTTCACTCCTCTACAGAAATGAGACTGGCTGGAGCAGCAGTCTTCAAACACATAGTAAGGGGAACCCTTTCCTTAGATTGGCATCTTATTCAGATGAGCTCTGGCTACCTAGAAAACTAACATTTGTGAGAATTTGATGCAGTGAATTCAGTGCACAGCAAGCCATCAGTAGCTGATATTGTTGTGTTGCAAATACACCAGGCAGTTACCAAAATAGTAAACGAGCAGCTTCGGCTTGGGTACAAACAGCAGGTGAAAAAGCCTTTTGAATTAAGTCAGTTAATTAATGCAGTGAAATTTATGTTCTAGGCTTATCAAGTAGCTGCGGAGGTGATGGATAGAATTCATTGACTGGTAGTGACTGCCTGGAGTGCTGGGTCGCTGTGATTGATTGGTGATGTCTGCTGTGTTGCCGGCTGCGCTGTGTTCTAAGTGCCTGTGTTTTCTGCAATCTCATCTAGATTTATAAATATGGCATGGATGCAGAGGAGAGGCCTGTCCAGTTAAAATCAATTTTGATAAAGACGTCTAGGTTCCTCCTAAGTGTTTTTCCACCATGCCTGCCCTTCCCCCCCCCCTTTCTTCATTTTCCTGCTTACCTATGCAACCTCCAGGTGCTCTGTTCTCCCACCATTCTCTCCCCAGTACCCAGGTGACAGACACACTGCAGAAAGTTAACAGACCCAAACAGCACCTGGAATGACTGCTATCCACCTAACATGCTGGTTATGAAGGGCCAGGATGGGGAGGAGATGATCTTTATAAAGAAGAGGACTCGTTTTGTGTGAATGTTTTGGAGGGCTGGGGCTGTAGCTCAGTTGCAAAGCCCTTGCCTAGCATGCATGGATTCAATCCTCAGCACCACATAAAAATAAATAAAATAAAGGTATGCTGTTCATCTACAACTCCAAAAAAAAAAAAAATACAAAACCTCACCTTCCTTCCTCCTGCCATCTTGAAATAATTCAGCATTTCTTGCTATCTTTCTGTAGGAAGTGGCTTCCAGGTGTAATTCCTCAAACAGGGAAACTTTTTAAATCTATCTACATAAGAATTTCACTATCTTTTAAGTGAAGCCCCAGCACTTGAAGCTGCCGATAATTTCTAGAAATATTTTGGCATTTTATTCATGATGCTCAGCCACGTGGTCTCTTTCCTCTAAGACTTTCTGATGAACCCACTCTAGATAAAAATAACCCCCTGCATCTATAGAAGGCGTAATCGTTTTCCAGGGATTGTCATAAAAATTGTCTAATTTCATCTGATTGAGGTCAGGAAGGGTATAATTCTCATTTTACAGATGGAAATACTGAAGGGTCGGAGAAACTAAGTGAATTCCTTAAAAAGTTGCACAGGATAGTGTAGCGGCCGGCATCCCTCCCAGTAATATTCCTTGGGGGGAAATGGAGAGCGTCTGAGCCACTTAGCAGCTGCATGAGAAGTGCAGGTTAGTTAGGAAGTATCTCTGGCTCTCAATTTCCTGTGTGAAATAATAATAATAATAATAATAATAATAATAATAATAAATCTGTGAAATAGCAAAACTAATAGCTACCTCTTAGGCTCTGTAGGAAAAGTAAAGAGGCATAAAGTACTTGCTCCCTTGTGGTAGGCTGAAAAGTGGCCCTTCAAGGACATATCTGTTTCCTAAATGCAGGATCCTGTGAGTGTTACCTTCAATGGCATGAGAAAGATGRTTAACCTGAGGATCTTGAGATGGGATTATCCAGGCGCATCCCAAGTGCAACTTGTATCTTTATGGGAGAGAATCAGAAGCAGATTCTATGTGCACAGGGGGAGACGGGGGAGAAGTGTGTGGGAGAYGGAGACAGAGACAGGAATGATGCAACCACAAGACAAGGAGCCCCAGATGTCCTCAGAAGCCGGGAACAAATGTGCAATGCCTCACTCGTCTCCAGAAACACAAGGAACAGAGTCTCCAGAACCCCGGGAGGGAGAGAGAGACCCAGCAAGCACTTTGCTTTGGGGCCAGTGAAACTGCCCTTAGACTTCTGACCTCCAGAGCAAGTTTTTGTTTTCTAAGCCACCAGGTTTGGGGTGATTTCTTACAGCAGCCATAGGAAATGAATGCACCCATTGGCTAAGTACCTAATAAATTCTTGCTGTTAAGGTCTACATCATCTAATAGGCCAGAGGGTTGGCCAACTCTGTCCTGCAGGGCAAATCCCACTCACCACCCAATTTGTCAATAAAGTTTTATTGGAACAAAGCCATGTCCATTCATTTACATATCGTCTGGGATTGTTTTCACACTATGGAAACAGAGTTCAGTAGTCAGCAAAGATTGTATAGTCCACAAATCTTACGTGTTTAGTACCTTGCTCTCGACACAAGATGTTTTCTGTCTCTTGTAATTAGATGCATCTAATGGAGAATGTAATTTTTTTTTTTTTATACAACTTTGCAAAGCAGTAGCCAGTCTCTGCCCTGGGGAACAACGGGAAGGGAGGTGCCCACACTCTAGTCTGTGGATTTGGCCTGGGCCAGTGTAACCAATAGAATATGGCAGGTGTGATCCTGCCTAACTTCCAAGCTAGTTCCCGAGAAGCCTGGCTCTCTCGGATTCTGGCTGTGGGAGAACTCTGTCACCATGTCAGAGTCCAACTTCCCTGAGACCTCAGTGCTGGGAGGCAGTCCACGTAAGCCAAGAGAAGAGGCCCCGTGGAGGGAGATGCCAGCCACCTCCAGCTGTGACAGCCATCTGAACCAAGGCCGCAGACAAGGGAGGGAAGGAACCTCAGAGACTCCAGCTCGGCTGCCACGGGCTGCAATGCCACAGAGGTTCCAAGAGTGGCCCCTAGCTCCCAGGCAACCCACAGAACTGCCGGAAATTCTATGATAATAGATTGGCTTCAGTCGCTAATTTGGAGAACAGACTGTTACCCAGCAATAGATAATAATAATAATAATCACCCGTGCTTTTAAAATCCTTCATAAATAACACCAATATATTTTGTCACTCATGAGGAAATTAAACATAAATTTTATTTTATTTTTCCCTAAAGAGATGAAAATGGACATACCTGTGGGTGTCACACGTTTTACCTGCATTCTTGTGAGACCTGTGTTGGTGCCTGAGCCAGGGGTAAAGGGCACAATCCTGGCAGAGACAAATGCTTTGAGGCAGTTACAGAGGGTGGTGCTGGGAGAACAGAGAGAAGGTGCCAGTCGGTTATGGGGGCACGAAATAAGGGGCACAGTTGTGAGAAAGTGCAGAGTATATTTGGAGAATGCTGGTCACCCTGGTTTCTGGCTGAGATAGGGGCAGGGTCCTCTCTCCCTCCTCACCTCCCCGACCAGCACACAGGCATGCACACACACACACACATGGGCACATACCGCATGCACCCTGCATRCGCCCCTTGTCATCCCATGTACACACGTAGCACAAACACACCCAAGTACACACACAATGCACATTCATTTACCAATAACCTGGTGCACCCTGCCAAATGCAGGTACTCAGAAGAAAACTGAGAGCAGGCTGCCCCCGCAGGAGCTCCCTAGAAATCCATCACTGGCCTCTCCCCAGTCAAGGCCAGGAGCACCCTGACACCCCCCCCCCCCCCGTTGTAACAACCAAAAAAGTCTCCAGACATTGCCAAGTGACCCCTGGAGGTCAAAACTGACTCTGGTTAAAAGAGACTGCTCTAAGCTTTAGTTTGTGGTCTACAAAATAAGGTTGATGCTGGTGACCTCTTTCTCAGACGGGATCGGCTGGGCATCGGGAGCAGTTTCTAGCGTTTTCTGACCCTCGGTGATTGTGAGCTGTTGCTACAATCGGACGGGCCACTGTCTCCAAGGAAGACTCAAACTTTACGTCAAAACCTCCATGCGCTTCCTCGGGCTGCTGGACCAAGCAATCACAAAGGGAGGGGCCTATAGCAACGCCACGTATTCTCTCCCTGTTCTGCAGGTCAGAAGTGTAGGGTGCTCCTCCGGACGCTCTGGAGTGGGCGTGGGGGTCCATTTCCATTTCCTTCCTTCCTCCAGCACCTAGAGGCCAGCTCTATTCCTGGGCTGCTGTCCTGCCTGCTCTGAAGTTGRCCTTTACCATCCATCTCCCTCTCTGACCCTCCCGCCTTCCTCCTAGGAGGGTCACCTCCCCATCTCAAGACCTTTAACTGATAAGTCCCTTTTGCTGATGTGATTACACAGAGCACTGTATCCGCAGTCCTAGGGATTAGGACGTGGACATCTCTGCCAGGTCATCATGTCCCTACCAGAGACCCTTAAGGCCCTGCCTCATCCACCAGAGGGAAGAAACGCCCTCTAAGTGGACTGCTTGATTTATTTATTTTTAATTAAACAAAGCAAGAAAAAAAAAAGATGGACACCTGCATTGACTGTGGCATTTAGACCCAGTAGATATTTTGAGTGTTTTGGAGACTATTAAATGGGGACACTTGGCATCCAGCAGGAAGATGGCTGACCCCATACGTGCAACGGTGTGGGTGAGAAGGGGGCTCGGGGTGAAGCTCTTCACTTTCTCGCAGATGGGGGGGGTCTGGGAGAGGTCACCCAGCTCCGATGCTGCTACCATTGGTCAGCAGCTCATATAATCCATGGAACACGCACTCCAAGAATGTTCCCAACTCCATCGAGCGAGCGCTGATGACATCATTGCTTCTGTTGATGGAAATGAACCCTGAACACTTGCCCAGGGGCTGTCTTGCAGGTTCATCCCTCTGTCTGCATCTTCCTTCTTTTCTTCTAAAGCACATTTTAGCCTTGCAGTCCTAGTTTCCTATATGTATCTGCCTCACCCCTTTGCTTAAATAGGGCATATCCCCCCCCAAAAAAAAAACCCACGGGGGAGTTTAATCCTCATTGTGAGGTATTAAAAGGGTGGGAATTTGCCGGGCGCAGTGGCACATGCCTGTGATCCCAGCAGCTCAGGAGGCTGAGGCAAGAGGATCATGAGTTCAAAGCCAGCCTTAGCAAAAGCAGGGCGCTAAGCAACTCAGTGAGACCCTGTCTCTAAATAAAATACAAAATAGGGCTGGGGATGTGGCTCAGTGGTTGAGTGCCCCTGAGCTCAATCCCTGGTACCAAAAAAAAAAAAAAAAAAAAAGAAAGAAAGAAAGAAAAGAAGGTGAGAAATTAAATCCACTGTGGAGTTTAGAGGTGATTAGGATGGGGTGGGTCCACCGGGTGGGGTTGCTGATGGCTTTATAAGAAGAGAGAGAGACCAAAAGACACACACAGGACTGCCCACAAGCACACACACATCCCTTCCTTGTGCCAAAAGACGCCCTGCACTCTCTTGGCACTGGGCCAGCAGAAAGGTCATCTCCAGATGCAGCCCCACAGTCTGAGACCAAAATCATGAGCCAAAATAAACCTCTTTTCATTATAACTCACTCAGCCTGTGGTATTGTTATTAGCAACAGAAAACAGACTAATACACTCTCAAACTCTGCCTGGAAAAACCTCCTCATTGACACAGATGTCCAAAGCCCACGTCCAAGGCAGGGAGGGCGGGGAGGGAGGGAGGGGTGCCTCAGGCTCAGCGTCCTCAAGATTCAGTCCAGGAAAGCAGAGAACTGGATACACAGGCAGGGGTGGGGAGGAGGGATGGGAAAGGAAGTTTCTGGCAACAGATACGGGATTCTTTGGGTCATAGTCGCACCCCTTCACGAATATACTAAAAACCACGGAACTGGATACTTTAAATGGCTAATTATATGGTATGTGAATAATATCTCAATAAACTTTTCTTTTTTTTTTTTTAAAGGCTCAGTCTAATAGGCTCAAGAAAAAAGAATGGGTCTGGTTTCCTTAGGCAATATACCTGCTTTCATGCATTTTCAATTCTTGGGAACCCAAAAGGCCCTACAGTTATTTAACATAAATAACTTCTAGTAATTGAATAAGCAAGGCAAATAATAATCATATCCAATTTCGTGCCCCCTAGAAATTTAATCCAGCCTCTTTGTTCACTGGGGTTCTTTTTTTTCTTATCAGAAGTGAGCTGTTTTGTGTTCCAGACCCGCAGGTAGGTCTGACACTCCATCCCAATCTTCAAGGACAAGTAAAAGGTAGCCAGGTGCTATGGTGGACCCTGTCCCCAAAGATCATGTGCTGGAAACTTCTCCCTAAATTTATGTGCCCGATGGTATTTGGAGACGAGGCTGTTGGGTGGCAATTAAGACCAGATGAGATCCTAAGAAGGGGACCCCTAGGATGGCATTAAAGGGTTAATTAGGAGAGAAGGAGAGACCAGAGCTGACATAAGCTCCCCTGCTCTCATGGAATGACCAGAAAGAAGGTCTTTACCAGGTACCAGCCCCTCGGTATTGGACTTTCTGGCCTCCAGAACTGTGGGAAATAGATTTCTTTTTTTCTTTTTCTTTCTTTCTTTCTTTTCTTTTCTTTTTTTTTTTTTTTTTTTTTGAAACTGCTTGGTCTGTGGTGTTGTGTTATAGCAGCAGAAAACAGACCAGGACACAAGGTAAAGAAGGGACAAAGAAAGCATTCCAAGCCAGGACTCACCTGCACAAAGACACGAGCTGGAGCACATTTAGTTGAATTCCAGGTACTGTGGGTTGTTCTGAGTGGTGAGGCCATTAAGACGTGTATGTATCAGGTGAAGGACACAGAAGGGGCCTCACAATAAGCAACATTCTAAGGAGTTAGGATATGATGCTGAGGGCTACAGACTGCAAGAGCTTTTGGGAATCCAGGTATCAGGGTGCATGATAGTAATCGTAGCTACTCACTCAGGAGGCTGAAGCAGGAGGATTGCATGTTGAAGCCCAGCCTGGGTAACTTAGTAAGACCCTGTCTCAAAAAATAAATAAATAAATAAAAAGGGCTAGGATTGTAGCTCAGTAACAGAGCACCCCTGAGTTTAATCTCCATTACCCCCCCCCAAAGGCAATATTCTCAATAAACAAAAGACAGAAACAACCCAAATGGTCACCAACGGATGAATTGATAAACCAAATGTAATCTGTCCATACACTGGAACATCACCAGGCCATGAGAAGGACCAATGCTGAGACATGACATGATGTGGAGGAACCTGGAAGGGACTGTGCTAAATGAGAGAAGCTAGTCACAAAAACCCATATGATATGACTCCACCTGTAGGAAATGTCCAGAATAGGAAAGTTCACAGAGACAGAGCACAGGTGGGTGGAGGCCAGGGAGTCACAGAGAGGGAAGGAGGACTGATGCTTATGGCAGGGGCTCCCTGTTTGGGGTATAAAAACTTTTTGGAACTAGTTGGGGTGACGGTTGTGCCACATTGGGAATGTATTAAATGCCAGTGAATACTATACTTTCAAAAGGATACTTCTATGTTAGGTGAATTTGATCTCAAAATTTTAAAAAGCACAAGAGGAACAGCATCCTGGTTCAGTAAATATCCCTAGCCCCAAGGTAGGTCTCTACTCAGACCCACGTCTCCCGATCCCTCAGGGACTTGGCTAGCCATCCCAGGGGAGCTTCCCACACCAGCCAACACTGAAGTTTTCAGGCTGAAACCAAAGAGTTGTGGGAAGCAGGCACAGCCAAGGCCACTGCCTCCCACTGTCCCAGCCACAGATCAGAAACGACGACACTGATCTGTCTGTAAATGACAGCCCCTTCCCTCTGCCCAGGCCCAGCCTGGAGACCCCTGCAGAAACCACATCTTCTAAACAACTCTGGGGACTGCCTGAGTCCCTTCCCATCTGCCCTTGTGCAGTGCTGATTTGAACTTTCCCCTCGATGACATGCAGCCCAGGTTTTTAGATCTTTCTTCCAAAACCTCAACGCATTCCTTCAGGGCAAGGAAGGAGCCCAGCAAGGGCTTTAGCAATTTCTGGGACCGAGGGTGAAGTTCACGTGGCTGTGCACGTCGAAGCACTGGTCTGGTTCCTCAGATATGCAAGTCTTTGTAACAAACGGGGACCTTAATATTTCCCCTCTTCATCAACAAGACCACCCTCAGGTCTCAGGTGCACAGGGAGCAGAGAAAAGCCAAGTCACGTAATGGGCGCATAGTGCCGGGGGTCTCAGTGCAGGGCAGCCTGATAAGACATGGGAAGAATTGAGAGGAAAGTGAAATCAAGAGAAAACGTAGGTGATTTTTACAATTTTAGATTTCCAACCCATTTATGTTATTCTATAGTTGTTCTCAACTGGGGTGACTTGACCCCTTTGGGGCAATGTCTGGAAACATTTTGTGTTGTCACAATGGGGCAAGTGGGTGCTACTGGCGTCCATTAGGTTGGGGTGCTGTTTGACACCTTGCCATGCACAGATCACTGTCCCCCACCCACCCCCAACCCCAGCCACCGCAGTGAAGACTAATTCAGCCTAGAGGGTCAACAGTGCCAAGGGTAGAAAGCCCGGGCACTTCAACCCCAGCAGCCCCTCAAAGACAGAAAAAGGAAACCGAGTTATACTGCCTTGACATTAAAACACTATTCTTATTTCAAACGTTACCCATAGTGCTGTCAATCAAAAAAGGGAATTCCACATAGGAAGACATTTAAATATGACCCTCAAATGCTTATTCATTCAAAGGAGCTCCTAAGGATAAAATTCCCAAAGTGGAAAGCTAAGATGGAGATTCCAGAAGATGGGCTAGAGGGGGGCCACGTTCCCTGTGACTCCCTGACCCAGGATTCAAGGAGTGGGAATACTGCTTCTCTGCAGAGTGGGTGAGAGAGGGATTTCACTGAAACTCAATATGGGACAGTCACAATGTCTTAGAGACTCAGACATTTGGGTACATTAAACCAAGAAGAAAGCCAACATTGGAGCCAAGCTGGTAGCAGCAGCAGCAGCAGGGGTTGGGCACAGAGAGAAGGACGGTGCAGAGAAATCCCGAGATCAGAAAAGCAGCCCACCTTAGTGCATCCAGAGTTGCACGCACGGTGCACTGGTGCATAAAAAGCACTCATGTTTCCCAGCTGGCCATGGGAAGTCGAGATGGAGCCATCTTGAGGTGGCCATGCTGCAGCGGCTGGTGCAGAGCCCGGAGATCTGAGCAGATAGTGCTATACTGTCCTGGCAGGCGTGATCTGGGTGTTCCTAGAAAAACAAGAGCACAACGGGAATAGAGAATATTCTACCTAGGGGGAGTCAAATCAGAGACAGGAAGGGGAGCCCTGCTGGCTTCCCCCTTTAAGTCTGGGGGCTCATGTGACCAGCTGAAGCTGGTGGGAATGTGAGCAGGTGGGAGTGAATACCCCCAGGGACTGAGCCCAGGAATCCTGGACAGCCTGTGTTCATGAGCAAGACAGGGGTCAAGGGTTGGCTCCCTCATCCCATGAGCAGAATCCTAGGAAGACTCCTGAGATCCAGACTCTCCGCCAGGATTGGCGATTGCCAGCCCCCAGGGGTGTGTTGACCTAATTTCTCCACAGCTGCTGCCCGCTGATTAGACTAGGCCCCACCTTCAGGAGCTCCCCTCACAGAACCCACAGCGGCCCCACCCCTGGAGCGCACAGGCCTGGTCTGTGCAGACGGAATTCCAGCGGACAGCACTTCCCATGCCATCCTTCCTCGTACTGGGGAGAAGGGAAGCTGAGAAGTTATAAACTCCAATTGAAAACTTGGTGAGCAACACAGAAAGAGGAAGAGTTCAACAACCCTCTGCCCTTACTCTCACACTCAGGACAAGGCTCAAGAAGAAATTGTTGAGGTCCACAGCCGAGTCGGGATGATGCATGGCATTTTTGCCAGAAGCAGTGGTTGAGAGGTGACGCCAGCGAGCCATTAAGATGATGACTTTGAGTTCTGGYGGAGTTCCCGTTGAGTTCTGCTTGAGCTCTCGTGGGGATTCCCAGAGAGTTCCCATTGGTTGGGGAAGTGCCCGAGGGGATATTTCCGGTTGCTGGTTCCTGGAGGATCTGGGTGGCGTTCGGTGGAGTTTCCGGGAGCGTGTGTGGAGTGTGCTGGTGGAGTTCAGAAATAAAGTTTGTTCCTGCTTCAGTGGCTGGTGATTTGTGCCCAGCCAGACTGCGGCAAGAAATGGCAAGAAAGACACACAGACAGTGAAAATACCTTCGCATTGAGTGTTTTGGCCATCTCAGGGGAATGAGTGCTTAATTTTCAATTAAAAATCTGTTTTTTTCTTTTCTTGTTATTTTTTATTCCCTTTTTTTCTTTTTTTTTTTTKTGTGTGTTTGTGTGTGGGGGGGTTGTATGTGTGTGTGTGTGTGTGTGTGTGTGTGTGTGCTGATTGGTTCATGAACATCTACACATATATATTTGTTCCTTTTTTTCTCATTTGTAGCATTTTTTAAAATGTAGCTACTTTTCCTCGCCTTTTGAGGGTTAGGGTTTTTGATTAGTATACTTTGGTTTGGTTTTGTATTATTTTTTCATTTGTCTATTTCTCTTTCTGTCTATTCTCGTAGCAATCAAATTCCATTGTTCTCTTTCTTGATTTCCCTTTATTTTGTTACTTCTATTTTTTTTCCTCCTTCCTTATAACCATCACATCCTACATCTCTTCTGCATTCTCTGTACACTTTTTTCCTATATTCCTGTCACATTTTCTTTTCTCTTAATTAACTGAATTCTAATAATATTTTAGCACTAACTGATTTATATAATGCCTGCTCCCATCATTAATGCTATTGTGATTATTACTGCTATGGATGTCATAGTTGACACCTGTTGTTTGACTTAATACCAGACATGGTTCATGGTCCCTTATTTTTTGTGCTGATGGCAATTGCTGACTATAGCCTTTCTGGGTTTTTGTGACAACTAACAGTGTGGATGTCATAGAAGGAACCAGGTATTTGGTTTGTTTAATGCTGTATATTGTTTGCATTGGTTGTTGCTATTGCTTGTTTCCATCTATTCTGTGAGATACTGGAGACCCACAGGGATGCTACAAATTCACAGGGAAGAAACTCTGCTGCTGAATTAAACTCAGCCAAAAGATAGCACTCCTCGCCCCCTACACAAATCAATAACATTCAATCTTCAGCTATACCTTAATACAAAGAATAGAAGGCACAATAATCCAAACTAATGTCCAGGCTCCAAGAAGAAACAGCAGGAGATGGACCCTCAAGTCCCACCTAAGGACATTCATTTCTATAGCAAAAACAGAGAGAAATAACACAAAGGCTGTGGACACCACACCCATAAAGAGTCTCAATCCAGATCAATCTAGGACATTTTAGCAACTGAAAACTATGCTCTAAGGAAAATGGGTAAGGAATCCACTTCAACTGATCTTGAAAGACAAGATCAATCAAATTATACTTGAAGGCATCAATAACAGACTAGATGGTATAGAAAATAGAACCTCAGCCCTTGAAGACAGAACTTTAGGCACAGAAGACAGGTTATATGATCTTAAATACACAGAAGGCAGTAAAGGGAAAATATAAAACATTACCAGACTATACAAGAACTCTGGGACAACTTTAAAAGATCAAACCTGAGAATCACCAGAATAGAAGAGAACATGGACATACAAACTAAAAGCATAAAAAATATTTTCAATGAAATACTTATAGAAATACTTATAGAAAACTTTCTGTAAGACTCTTGTATGTGGATGTCTACCTCAAAATGAGGTAGACATCCACATACAAGAGTCTTACAGAAACCCAAATAGACCCAGCCAAATTAGAAGCTTGCCAAGATCTATCATAATCAAAATGCCTAATACAGAAAACTAGGAAAGAATATTAAAAGCCACAAAAGAAAGGCAATAGGTCACATTTAGAGACAAACCAACAAGGCTCACATGTCATTTCTCTACTCATATCCTAAAATCAAGGGATATTTGGAATGAGATATTCCAAACCCTAAAAGAAGACAACTGACAGCCAAGGTCACTATATCCAGCAAAATTCAGCTTCAAATTTGAGGGGAGATAAAAATATTCCACAACAAGAAGAAACTAAAAGAATTATGAGCAACAAACCAGCACAACAAATAATACTCAAAGATAAACTTTACAGAGGAATGAAAAACAATGCCCAAAGCTCAAAAACAGAGGATGTTTAATAGAGAATATGCCACTAAATGAGAACTAAGGGTAAAATACAGCAAAAAACCAAAATGGCAGGAAACCACAAACACATATCCATGCTAACACTGAATGTTCATGGTCTCAAGTTCCCAATTAAAAGACACAGATTGACAGAATGGATCAAAAAATGAAGTCCAACTATATGCTGTTTACAAGAGACCCATCTTATGGGCAAAGACACCCACAGGCTGAAAATAAAAGGGTTGCAAAAAATATTCCAGGGATATGGTCCAAGAAAACAAATAGGACTAGCTATTCTCATATCTGGCAAAGTAGATTTCAAGCAAATATTAATCAGAAGAGAAAAAGAAGAACATTACATAATAGTCAGGGGAAAAAAATCCAACAAGAATGTATAACCATAGGAAACATTGAAGTCCCAAATGTCAACATGCCCAATTACATGGAAAAAAAAATACTTCACAACCTTAAATTCCACATAGACCCTAACACAATAATCCTGGGAGATTTCAATACACCCTTGCCACCAATAGACAGGTCATCAAAACAAAAACTCAACCAAGATATCGCCAATCTAAACAAAATGAATGATGTGGTATACCATGTTCATGGTTGGGAGGAATTAAATTGTATGGCTTGGATATGAGGTGTCCCCCCAAAGCTTCTGTGTTAATGCTGGAGGTGAATACTCGGATTACAAGAGCTGTAACTTGATAATTGGATTCATCCATTTGAATGGATCACTGGGTGGGGACTGTAGGCAGGTGGGGTGTGACTGGAGGAAGTGAGTCACCGGGGACATGCCTTGAGGGTTACATAGTTTGTCTCTGGTTCCTTCCACGTTCTCACTGTGCTTTCCAGATACCCTGAGGTGAGATGCTTTCCTTTGCCACTCCCTCCCACCATGATGTTCTGCCTCACTGAGCTCCCAGAGAACTGGAGTTACCTGAAACCATGAGCCAAAGTAAACTTTTCCTGTAGTCAGTTGTTCTGGCCAAGTATTTGGTCACAGTAAAGAAAAGCTGACTTACACAGTAGTTAAGATGTTGATTCTCCCCAAATATATCCATAGAATATGTTCCACAGGATCCCAACCAAAATCCCAGCAAGGTGTTTTGTAGACATTGAAAAGCTGATTCTAAAATTTATGTGAAAAGGCAATGCCTAAATTGACAAGACAATTTTTTTTTAAAAAAAAGGACAAAGTTGGAGAACTTACCTGACAGTGTGGTAGTGGTTGAAAAGATAGATAGAAAAAAATTAAATAGATCCCAAAAATTGGTTCAAAGAAAGATCCATGGGGTATGAAAGAGAGTTCAGAAATATACCCTCAGGCAGATGGCCAATTTATTTTTGTCAAAAGCATTGAGGTAATTCAATGAGGAAAGAAAGTTTCTTAACAAAGAGTGATGGTATAACCGAGTATCTATGTGGAAAAAAGTAAACATCAAATCTTGCCATATACCATGCACAAAATTACCCTGAAGTGGATCATAGACTTACACATGAAAGCTAAAACTATAACACTTCTAGAAGAAAACATAGGAGAAAATTTCTGATATTGGGTAGGCAAAAATTTCTAGAATAAGACTTAAAAGACACAGATCATAAAATAAAAAGTTGATAAGTGGGACTTTATCATAATATAAAATTTGGTTTCATGAATGACATAGATAAAAATATTAAAACAAAAACACGACTTGGAAAAAATACATGTGCCTAAGTGTTTATAGCAGAATCTTAAATAACTTCTACACCTGAATCATAAGTCAAACAACCTAATTTTAATGGATAAAAAATATAAAAGACACTCCTAAAAGAAAACATATGAATTCTTAAAAGCACATGAAAATATGCCAAAAAAGTAGCCATTGTGTTAGCCAGTTTCCTGTTACTGCAACAAAAAAGTTGAATTAATCAACTTAAAAAAAGAGGAAAGGTTTATTCTCATAGTTTTGGAAGTTCCAGTCCCTGATCGGTTGGCAGAAAGAGACCAGGGTCCCATGATTCCATTTGAAGGCACACCTCTATTGACCTCCAATGACCTATCTCTGACTAGGACCCACCTCTTAAATTTTCTTCCCATAGAACCAGGGCATAGGGACCAAGCCACAGCACATGGGCCTTCAGTTCCAGACCCAAACTAAACCAGTTATCAAGGAAATGCAAGTAATAACCATATGAGGTACCACCGCACGCCCATTTGAATAGCTAAAATCAGAAAGACTCACGATCCCACTTACCATCCTGGATGTGGAGCAACTGGAACTCTTGCATGTTATTGGTGGGAATGCAAACATAGTGCATCCACTCCAGAAAAACATCTGGCAGTTTCTAAAAAAAAATGCCTACCAGACAACCCAGCTACTCTTAGATATTTACCCAAGAGAAAGGAAAACATATCTCCACACAAAGACTTGTACACTAATATGTATAACAGCTCAAGTCATCACATGCAAAACCTTGGAAACAAATGTCCATCCACAGGCTAATGGATAAACAAACTGTGAAACAGACCTTAACAGTAAAAGGGTAAACAGAACAATGTGGGTGGATCTCAAATATCAGTAAAAGCAGTGAGACACAGAGGTATCACCGATATGATTCCACAATATGAAATCATGAAAATGCAATGCTACAATGACAGCTAGCAGGTCACCCGTGAATGAGAGACTGGCTTCTAGGGGCTGGCAGGACTTTCCGCAGGTGCCAGAAATATTCCATACCTCCATCAAGGTGATAGTTACTTGGAGATGTACATTTGTTAAAGCATCAAATCATGATTTTTTTTGTAGTTTATTGCATGTAAATCACACCCCGATAATGTTGATCTGGAGACTAATGCAAGCCTCGGCCAAGAGCTTGGTATTTGTGGAGCCTGAGGAGGCTGGGATGGGTGGAGGCTTGCTTCTCTCTGTTTCAGCCGCCCATATCATCCGGGTGTTTTGTTGACATGCGGCTGGCGACCAGAATTCTGTTTTCCTCCGCTGAATTATGTGCAAGTCTTTCCAGCACTCAGTAAATGATGACAGTAAGAGAGTCTGAGATCAATGCTCATCTGTGTGCTCTGCGGCAGGAAACTCTGATTGTAATTCACAGCCTCCTCTCTCTGTCGGCCTCTTGTTCAAAACACAGAGAGACTGAAAAAATGTGTCATTTACCTGAAAGATGGAGGCCAGTTGGAATAGCACCAGCCTGAGACGGGAGTTGCTGAGCCCAGCCTCTGACTGGGAAGAGCTGAGTCGCTGGGCTCCTCTCTGTCCAGGCCCACAGCAGGAGCCCTTGGGGATGCACTTGACCTCAGCCTGGGAATTGTACTCCCACCCTCAGCAGAGCTCAGATCACAGACACACGAGGCCAGACAACCTGGAGAAGAAGCACAGAGGACCTCTCACCTCCTGGACCATCGTGCACAGACGGCAGAGGAGGTGAATCCTTGGACCACCAACTGCTAGGCTGACAGTGAGTGACAAGCACATTAAAAGGCGACCAGCAATCTGAGGCCCAAGATGTGGACAACCTGAGAGCCAGGGTCAATGTGCCTGTCTCTCTGGAGTGCAGCCAGACCCTGGGGACTGGAGTAAGGAGCAGGTCTACCCAGCTGGCCTTCTGCTCTGGCTTCCCCATCATCCCCCTCCACTCAACCCCAGCCCCAGAGGCAGAACATCTGCAAGATGCACCACATCCTCCCTTCCAGACCCTTCCATAGCCTCCCTTTGCCTGTAGGATGAAGTCCAGAGCCTACTGCGAACCATGAGTTCCCATGCATAAAATAATCCCCAGGGCCTCCCAGAGATGTGGATTCCACAGGTGTGAGCAGCCCCAGTCACCTGCACTGACAACCAGCCCCTGCCATAAGCCCAAAACAGGTGACCCAGATTCCCCCTGTGGACATCCTGCCCTCCAGGACTTCCACATTAGCCCCCGATGCCTCTCCTGTCATCTGGCGCCCTGAGCTCTCCTCTGTCCAGGATCCCCTATCGCAGGGGTCTCCTTTCTTCCTGGTGTAGCAAGGGCTTTCCCAACAGCAGGGTCCAGAGGCCTGGCACAGGCTGCAGCCACCATCTCCATCTTCAGTTCCTGTCCTTCTCATTCTCTGATGTAGGCGATTCTCGTTTCCTCAACATCCTGTAAAGTGCTATTTTACACTGAGTTGCAAGACAAATTATCAATATCTTTTCTTTTTCTTTTTTTCAATATTTTATTTTTTTGTTGTAGTTGGACACAATACCTATTTTTTTATTATTTTATTTTTATGTGGTGCTGAGGATCGGACCCAGGGCCTCACACATGCTAGGCGAACACTCCACCACTGAGCCACAGCCCGGCCTACTGACTATCTTTTCTATAGGAGACTCAGGAGCCGAGTTGTGGGTGGAGCTCAGGGATAGAGTCCTTGCTTAGCAGGTGCAAGGTGCTAGGTTCAGTCCTCTGCACAGAAAGAGAGAGGGAGAGAGAGAGAGAGAGGGAGAGGGAGAGAGAGAGAGAGAGAGAGAGAGAGAGAGAGAGAGAGAGAGAGAGAAAGTGAGGGGGTGGGCAGGGGAGGAATTTCTGATCCTCTGACAAAAACCTATATCCATTAAATAAGAACATTCTGGGTCCACTGCTGTCCTTTTCTATGTCAAGATATTACAGTGGCCTGTGTTTCCCTACGTAGGATGTCAATTTCTGCCCTCGGCCCACCCCCCTCCCTTCTCTGAGTGGCTATGTGATAGACGTCTGGCTCACTTCTTCTATCCACACTGAAGGAGACTTCAAGTTCTTTCCTGCTCTGCCATGTACCGAGACCTGAACACATTGCCTGGCATAACTAAAGCTCCCTATATACTTGCTGCGTGTACTTGAAGTGGTGGGTAATCTCTAGAGGAGCTCTGCCTTGCGTTGCTATCACAGAACACCACAGACTGGACATTTAGAAGCATAAAAATTTGTTCTTACAGTTCTAGAGGCCAGGAAGTCCCAGGTGAGGGCCCTGCATCTGCTGGGGGGACATGGTGCTGCATACTCCTGTGGCAGAAGGTAGTAGGGCACGATAAGGTGACAGAGAGCCAGCAAGAGATGGAACAGGAGCCCAAGCCCTTTTACAATGGGCATTGATCTGTTGGCAAGGGTCCTGGAGTCCTCGTGACCTACAGACCTCCCATTAAGCCCCGCCTCCCAACTCTGTCACCCAGGAGGTAAAGTTTCCAATCCACTTTGGGGGAAACCCTACAACTCCCTTGTCATCCCCCACCCCAGCTGTAGAATCCCAGGCCCCTGAACCACCTTGCTTCAAACCCCCTGGAGACTGGATTCAGCTCACCTGGAAGTCAAAGTCCCTTCATTTGTCTTTTTTTTAAAAAAATATTAAATCCTGAAAAAGATGTGTTATCAACCTATTTTCCTTGAGAGTAGGTCATTTGAAGTTTCTTCCTCTATGGGATTGAAGATTTTTGTTCCCCTCCTTTGGTCCCCAGGAGATATTCTGGGACCCCTTGGATTCCTCCCAGGAGATAGATGGCTTCAGTATGTCACAAATTCCTCATAGCTGTAAGCAATATTTTGTGTCTGCATTCATTGTTTTTCAAGCTACTTTAGAAGACAAAATCACTGGCATCAAAGAAGCATCATCTTTGGGGGGAAAAGGAAAAGTACCAATGCTCAAGACCCAGCCCTGCCTTCACACCCAGAGAGTTCCAGCCAGACCATCTGGGCCACGTCAAGTGCTGCAGAAGCTTCCTCGGCATGCAAGCCCTCTGGGAATGAACACAGAGCTCAGGATTCCAGCGCGTTCTCTCCAGAGGACCTCAGCCAGGTGCTCTAGGCCAGGACATTCGCCCTCCTTGTCCCCTTTCCCCATAGCTGCTCAGGGTCTGGGCAAGTGATCTCCATTCTACAGATGAGGACCTGGGGGAGAGGCAGGTTGCTGAATGTCCCCGTGGTCCCAGGAGGAGGAGTGGGAGGAAGGAGAGGAGGAGAAGAAGGAGGAGAAGAAAACTAAAGCCCCCCTGGTCCCCCTCCTCCTGTAACTCAGACTCCCAGCCCCCCCCCCCCGGGAGTCAGCACTGGGTTCTGGAATGTTCTGTGAGGTAAAGATAGCTCTCCCATCCCGCCGCCTCCTTCTCCAGGCCCCACCTGCTTGTTGCTGTCTCTGGAGTGACACCTCCTGCAAGCTTCAGTGCAGAGCCGAGCAGAGCAGGGCTGGGTGAAACCGGGGCTCCATCTGCCYGTGCTCTTTCTGGGGTGTCTGAAGGTAACTTTGCACCGACTTTTCTTGCCAGGAGGCTGAGAAGCCTTCTGCGGTGCCACCCGGCTCCCATCCACGCTGCAGAATTTAGCTGGTCCCAGAGCCAGCCCCTGGTGCCACTCAGCCAGATGGCAGGAGAAGCCAAACAAAAGTGACCTTGTTAGCAGAATGTGTCTTCCCCAGGAGGAGCTATTTTTGTGATGGTTGTGAGCCGAAGTTGTCTCGGCTGAGTTCCCCCTTCCCTGCAGGCTGCGGAATGTTAATTTGTTCCAAAGTTCAGTATTTTGATTAGAACCAGGAGTGCCAGATTTTTGTCGGAAACATTTTGGATGGGGTAGGCTGTGCGTGAGTGTGTGTGTGTGTGTGTGTGTGTGTGTGTGTGTGTGTGCGCTCGCTCCCTCTCTCTCCTTCTCTCTTGGCCACTGTACAAAGTAAATGTTGTTGCTGCAGCTGCTCTGGGGGAACAGCCCGCAGCCAATCAGGGCGGAGGGCAGCACTGGCCTCTCCCTGCAGCTGTGACCTTATTGCCACAAAGGCACCCAGAGAGTAGACGGGGAGGACACACCCTGGGTTCACTGGGAAACAGCCAGGAAGCGGGCACTGAGACTGGGACAGAGGGGTTCTCAGAAAACACACTGAATAAAACCGCACAGCAGACTTGAAGCTGGCGGCTTCTGCAACCTGGAGGCCGTGTTCAGAGGTCGCCAGGTTCTGGACTCCCTCTGGGAAGCCTCCGTTTCCCTTGTCCTGGGTTCTCTTAACCAGACCTCCTGCAGTTGTCTCTTTTTAAATGAGTTATGCACCCAAGGATGGCCAGACTCTTTTTTTTTTTTTTTTTTTTTTGCAGGACAAAATAAACACAGATAAGATGAAAGAGCCGGCAGCCTCCACCCCAGCCCAGCCCTGCGGGCGCGGGCTCCCCAGGTAATTAGGTTCGAAGGCCTCACCAGCACCTGATAGCATCCAACCTATGGCTGGTTAGTCTGGTGGGTGGAAAATGGTTTTGTCCAGTAAGTAGTGCAGCGGTTTGGAGCCATGGACTTGGAGACCAGGTTGACTGGGGCCCAATCCTGGCCCTGTGACAGTAGTAGTAGCAGCAGTGTAGACAAGAGAGCCTGGCTCCATTTGGGGCTGTGCAGCTACAKATGACCACAGTGGTCTCTCTGGGCTGGTGGCTGGGCACGATCGCCGACTCCGACTCAGTGCTTGGATGGGACTGGCCTGGGTGAGCGCCCTGTAGGGGGCTGGCTTTTGTCATCACCAGTCATTCTGGGTCCCTGGGGAGGTCGGGCTGCCCCTCCCCCACCCTGCACCTTCAGTTTCAATTCAGGGTCGCAGTCTCCCACATTTCCCAGGCTCTGCACCGAGGCTGGGAAAGACCCTGGCCGCGCAGGGCTCTGTGGCTTCTCTGTGGCCCCTTCAACGTTCCGTCGTCAGGAAGGAAGACTCAATTTCTAGGATGAGGTGGGCTCTCTGTTTCTCCCAGTGGGGGTCACTGAGGCTCTGGGCAGGGAAGGACTCCTCTGGAGGCACAGAGGCCACAAAGAACCAGGCCCATGTTCATGAGCCCCTCCTCCTCTTCAGGGCCGATCCTGACCGACCAGAGGCAGTGTCCTGGGAGCTGGGTTAAGAAGGACTCTGAGGTACAGCTCTTGTGGACAGCCCGTCTGCACCAGGTGCTCAGGGAGAAGAGGGCACGTGTCCCATGTCGCGGGGGCTCTCCCAATATTCACCTGGACAGTTCTCACATCCCCCACCTGCAGACAGAACCGATGTGGGAGGAAGAATCAGTTGACAGGGGATGAGGGGACGCTCCTTCCTCTACCGCCACCCCCCCTGTGAGGCTCAGCTTTAACTTTAAAATCAGTCATTACCAACCCAGGGAAGGGGGGCGGGCTCCAAGGCTCTCTGTACCTGTTCCCTGTGAATGAAAGATTAATGAGAAGTGGTTCAAACACCCGAGAAGATGGTATGTGCATTTATCAGATAATAGGATTCTATTTACAGTTTTGAAATTTATACAAACTCTGTCCAGGACACATTTTCCCCCCTATAAAATGTCTCCATAAAAGGACCCCCTGCCTCTGCCTGGATCATTTTATTTCATGAACAATCCATTTGTGAGCAGGAAGTCACCTTGAAGGATCCTAGTAGCCTCCTCATCTTGGGGGTTGACCCGCTTCTCCCTGTGTGGGGGAGGGGCGGGGGGTTCAAGGTTCTGTTAGTTTATTGGTTGACATCCGCACAGAGGAGGTCCCTTTGCTCGGGGACCATGTCTGCTCTGCTCACTGCTGTGTTCCAGGTTCCCAGGACCGTGAGTCTTCGAGGAAGGAAAAATGATCACGTGAGCCCCTCCCTCCCCGTGGGTGCTGCATGGGGGACCTGAGGGGACACGTTGACATGAGCATCCGTGTCCTTCAAACACTTCCACATCTGTGCACATCAGCATTACCAATGCACGTTTTTACAGACCGACCGCGTGTTCTTGGCGATGACCTAGCTCTACGTCCAAGTGCTCGGGTTAAGAGCGTTCTATGGAAGCCCTGGGCATGCGGTTACTGTGTTTTATAAATAAGGACACAAAGTGTCTGTGTTAAACTCTCCAATCCTGGAAGACTAGTTCTGGGAGAAACAAAAGTTTCCATCTTCACATGAGTTTGGGAAATTTGGAATTAAACGGAACTAACCAGGCCTCTATGTGCAGATCCACTCGGATACTTTAAATGCCAAAGTGGCCCTGGAGGTGGCATACCACTGTCGCCCCAGCGGCTTGGGAGGCTGAGGCAGGAGGAGGGAGAGTTCAAAGCCAGCCTCCACAAAAGCGAGGCCCTAAGCAACTCAGTGAGACCCTGTCTCTAAATAAAATACAAAATAGGGCTGGGGATGGGGCTCAGGGGTCAAGTGCCCCTGAGTTCAGTCCCTGGTACCAAAATGGAAAAAAAAAAAAAAAGCCAAAGTACTGGTTACTCTCTAAATACGGAAAGAACACACTTCACTTAACAAACTCAATGATCTTGGGACTCTGCTAGACCCTCCTTAGACAGAACGTTAAAGTAAACTTACACAAACGCTAAACAGACTGCACCCAGCCAGTTGAGGGACTTTTAAGAGCCTGGCCTTGTGAATGACCCTGTCCATGCGAAGATGGGTAAGGAGTGAGGGGCTCCCTCAAACTCACAGTTCAGGGAAGTCAGAGGATCGGGGCTCCCTGCTGCAATGTCAGGAGCCCCAGGTCACTGACGGAGAAGTTAGGGGCTCAGACATCTGGAAAGTCCAAGAGGGGAAAAGAGAAGAAAATGAGAACTGATGACAGACAGTGAGGACCCCAGTGGCACAGGAAGAAGGGGTGGCCCAGCTCCCGGGAGGCGCCCCAGCAGGCTCCCACCCACTGCCCACCTGAGCAACACTGTGGAGCACCCCCCAGGAATCAAGGGACAAAGTGACACTCAGACCAGGTGCCTAGAATGCAAAGAGGGAACAGGAAGGTCCAGCGGCTTCTTGGGTCCCCCAGTCACCAGACCTTCGGCCTTCCTGGGCACGGGCAACCAGGGTGACGGGTTGAAGCGCTGTCCATTTCTCCCGAGGTAACTGGCACGACTCCAGCCCTGGTGCCAAAGGACGCCCCAGGCCTTGTGATCGTCCCCGGCGTTGGTGTGGGGATGGGGCGGAGGAGGCTGGAGAGAGGAGTCCTGTCCTTTGGAGCAGAGAAGGTCCTTTGGGCAGCTGTGGTGGGCAAACCCTACCCCAAGGACTGCGGTGTCCCCTCAGGGGACACAGCAAGGGTCCCACCAGCACGGGTCACTTCATACGCACGTGCAAATGAAGTAGGGCGAGGAGAGCCTGGTGCACAAGGGTATCACTGGTCCCTCCATAAAGGAAGACAGGAAGGGGACAGCTTGGCTTGGCTCTTGGTTTCAAGTGACTTTCACACTGAGGAAAATTCCCGAATATCCCGACCCAACTGTGACCCCATGTCCTTCTCTTGTGCTTCTAGGGTGGCACCCAGTTCCATGTCAACTGCCACCGCTGGACCTGTGCACGGCTCTGGCCTGAGAGACGAGCAGGTGGTGAGAAGCACCTGGGACATGTCACATTCTGAAATGTCACCCGTGGCCACTGAACAGATGCCGCCCCTCCCACTCCTCTGCACGCCCCGTGTCAGGGACCTGGTTCTAGAACGACCCTCTACCACCTTCCTGTGAGCAGGCTCCAGGTAGGAGGGAGCTGTCACTAGGCCACAGGGGACAACTCCAACACCAGGGATTTCAGCACCAGGAGTTCTTGAGTCCCTCTGGAGGGGAAGGGGATGTCCAACTGGACCGCTGCTGCCCACGAGCCAAGGATGGTTCTGACATTTTTGGATGGTTGGAGGACAAAAGTAAAAAGAAGAAAAAGACATGGTGAAACATGGAAATTATACGAAATGTAAATCTCAGTGTCCATCAGTAAAGTCACGTGGACCGAAAGTCACACCAGCTCACCTGCGGACCCTGCACGCTGGGCCCTGCCTCAGGACCTGAACTAGGATGGGGACAGAAAAAAGTCTGGGGAAAATACCGTCTCAATCTCTTAACCTGGGCATCACTCACGTGCTGCAGTCTGGCTGGGCACAATTCAGGAGCCACTTGTCAAAAGAAACAAACTTTATTTTTAAAACTACAAACGCCAAACAAAACAGCTCCTCAGGAAAAACCCTCAGAGCCCAACTGCCACCACCGGCTTCCACAAGCCTCTCCCACACACCAACCTCACCACCTCCCACAATCCTCCTGCTCTTGAGGCCGATTGGCTGGGTCGCATGGGCGGAGCCAAAGAAGTCCCCCAATGAGCAGCTCCATGGTCTTAAAGGGCAGGGAAACAGCCCAATGAGCAGCTCTGTGGAGGAACCAATCAGCTAGATGTTGCTGGGGCCACTGTGAGCCAATCATCAGCTGGCAGCTTGAAGGGCAGGGAAACAGCCCAATGAACATCACCGCAGAGGAGCCAATCAGCTAGATGTTGCTGGGGCCACTGTGAGCCAATCATCAGCTGGCAGCTTGAAGGGCAGGGAAACAGCCCAATGAACATCACCGCAGAGGAGCCAATCAGCTAGATGTTGCTGGGGCCACTGTGAGCCAATCATCAGCCGGCAGCTGGAAGTTTGCTGGCAGCTGGAAGTTTGCTGGGGCCCCTTTGGCTATGGCTCTCAACACTCACGCCTGAACATTGCCAGACTGGATCCCGCCCCATTGATTAGACTTAGTCAGGAAGTCTGGGGGCGTTCTGTCCCTCTGGTCGGCTTTGCCTGGGGACACCTTCTGATGTCATTCTACCCCCTGCCTTGAGACCAGTCAATGATTTTCCGCTGCTCATG